GGTGAAGCCTCTCGCCGCCCCTGAGCCTCTGGCCTGTACCCAGTTCTGTATACACAAATAAATAAATCTTTAAAAAAAAAAAATGTGCATTCACTTTGATTGTCTATTGTTTGCTTTCCTTTCTTAATGCAAAAAGACAAGCGTTTTGTGTCTACTGACGGTTGAACAAAGGAAATGTTTTATAAATAAGATGTGAGATATGTAAGTTATAAATCTTTGTGACTATGTTCATACATACATATATATATATATATATATATATATATATTATGCATTTGAAATAGTATACAGCCATTAAAATAGAAGGAAATGTTGTCATTTGTGACATGGATGAAACTTGGCAGCATCACGCTAAATGAAATATGACAGAGACAGAGACTAACATGATCTCACATGTGGGGTCTAAGCCCAAGCAAAACAAAACAAAAATATGTACTCACAGATACAGAGGACATATTGGTAGTTGCAAAACCCAGAGGCTTGGAGGTGGACAAATTTATGAGCGGTTCGAAAAGCACAAATTCCCGTTTTATAAAATAAGTTAGTTTCTGGAGTATGATACATATAGCCTGGTGACCAAAGTCAAAAATACTGTATTGCATATTTGGAAGTTAAGAAAATAGATCTTAGGAGTTCTTATCACAGGAAGAAAATTTTAACCATGAGGTAATGAATGTTAAGTAGATTTATTGTGGTGATGATTTCACTATATATACAAATATTGAGTCCTTGTGCTTGTGTATACCTGAAACTAATATGATGTTACATGTCAAACACATTTTAATAATAACTGCATATAAGCCAGAAATATGCTTCAGTCTTTTTTGAGGTTTATTTTTATTTTATTAAGTATACAAGAACTGCGGTGTAGGCCAGTGGTGTAGGGGTAAAAGGATTCACCAGATACAGAATGGGGAGAAGAACAGGTGGATCTACTGAACTCCACTGCTGGTGGGAGCAGCAAGAGAGATAGGAGAGGTCTGCTGTGCCATGTGGGGCCGCAGCCTGGCTGGGGAACTAACTCAGGTGCAGTGGCTGGGGATAGCTTGACAATTCTGAGACTTTACACCCTGCTCTCCCAGGGGCGCTTCATAGAAACATGACCTTAGTGTTAAGAGTTGCTCGGGCTGGCAGGAGGGGTAGGCATATCACAACCATAAGAGGGAAAATGCACATGTTTGAGAGTCGAGTATCAGTCACTTTCCCATACATTTATCATTTATGAGAAATGTTTTTATCATACTTGAATTCTCTGGAGAATTTAACCATATTGCTATTTTCTCATTCTTTAAAGTCTTCCCTGAAGCATACAACATTGCTCTTTTCCGGATTCTTTCTTTTATCAATATTACTTGCAGCCTCCTTTGAAAATCCCCTTTCCTCTGCTTGCTTGTGACAAATGAGGGTTACTGCCCCCAAATACTCCTTATGTTCTTATCATCTTTTAGACTCTTTTCTCAACAAGTGAACAGCACCCTGAATTCATTCATTTCAGCTCAAACCTCTTTTCAGATACACAAGCCTACATGTTCAGCATCCTAGTGGATATCTGTCCAAAAATAAACAAAACAATTAAGGAGCAAAACATACTACTGCCATCTTCCACTTATCAAGTAAAAAAAAAAAAAAGAATCAAAACCTTGTTAAATAAATCACTACACTCATCAATCCTACAACCTTACTCTCGTAAGTAACTGTTCTCCATTCTTATCAATAATTCTGCTATAGAAGCTCTTGGCAAATCCCTTTGGGATCCTGCACAAGCCAGTTCCCACATTCCAGCTCTGCCATTTGTTCTATTGCTCCAAGTATCTTCCAATTTCACAAGTCTGATATGATCATTCTCTTGTCTAAAATTTCTCAGTGACAGTGTATCATCATAATGATACAAGAAATTTTTAACAAGGCAATCACCATAAGGATACGAGAAATTTTTAACAAGGCATAAAATGTCTTTGTCTATTTGACTCTTGTTCTCTGCCCCACATTCATGCCTCCTCTAGCCTCCTCTAGCACAAAGTCCAGTCATGCAGAACCACATGATTTTCTGGGGTCATAATTACTTTTCTTGTACTTCCATGCTATTCTGCTCTAAATTGGCTTCTCTATCATTTGCATCGTCTTCAACTAAACCTTGAGGTCAGCTGAAGCACTGTTTTCTTGGGAAAGTAAAATACATGTCCCTTCTCTGAGTTTCTGAAGAATCTTTTGGATACTTTATATATCATTTTCCAATAATTTTTAAATTTACATTTTAGAAAGTTAATCTAATTACCATGAAGATAATTATTTGGGGAAGGGGAAGGTAGACACAGAGGGTTGGTTATAAAGCTGCTGCATTCTTGTTTGTGAGCAGTGACAGGGAGTTCATCTGAGATGGGTGATAAGAGAAATCCAGAACAATAGAATACATTCAAAATGAGGGAAGGGTGTTCTATAGACAGAGATCAGTAAGGGTTTGTACATGAGAATGAAAAAAATGATCATGGTTGTCTCCTCATCTTGTTTTGTTTTGTATTTTAGCCCGGGTCATCAACAGGGTATCATGTATTAAGATGAGGTATCCTAGTACAGGTACAGACTTGGCACATTGACAATCAAGAGTTCAGTATGTTTTCCATCTTAGATAAATTTTACATATCCACATAGCTATGTGATTTAAGTAGTATGTATAAATACAGACTATGGTTCAGGAAAAGGTGGTCAGGTATGTCAACATAAACTTGAATGTAACTGTCAAGTAGAGTGTAGTTTAAGTTCAGGACACCTGCTACATACTCCACACAGTGGTTGAGGATCCAGTCATTGAGTGACTATCCAAGAAGACTGAGAAAGAACAGCAAATAAAACAGAAAAATGTAGAGTGCTTTGCAGAAGCAAAATGAATTAAATTTTATGAAAGAAATAAATTATTCAAGATCAAATACCTGGGTACCAAAGATGTGACCAATGGATATGACAATGTCAAGGTCTTTGTTGATGTCAAGAATCAATTTATTAGGTAGTAGGGTATACAAAAAGCTGGGTGAGAGAAGTTTGGGAGGTGAAGAAGTAAAGAGGGTTCATTCTTTTAACATTTTGTCTCTGACAAGGAAGATCAGATGGTGACTTCAAGATAATTACTGATTTCCTTTTATGTTTGTGGTTTACTTGCCTCCTGTTCACACTGGGTCACTGGTGCCTAGCAGGGAGTGGGCACAGTACACTTAATTTCAACTCTGCAACATAGGTATTATGACCCTGGATGAGGTTTAAGAGGCTGTACATTCTACAAAATAACACAATCCATATTATTTTTCCATCCACGATGTAAGAAAGTGCTATGCTATAAACAAGAAACAGACCATCACAGGATTAGACCATATAACTCTTTGGGTAGTTAGCTAAAATAGGGGATTGCAGAGTCTTCTATTCATCGATGAACTACACCGACATCAAAGAAATATGCCAACAAATTCATCTCTTCATTTGAAATAGCCAGCCTTTTTCTATCCCCTCATAAATATCATTGATTATATACCATATTACTGTGTGAAGAATCTGAACTTTCTTATTTTTCCAAATGGTAAAGCTGCATTAAGTGTAGAAAAGCATAATACACAAGGTCAACAATTGCAAATAGAGCAGTTGTTCCGCTCCTATGGGAGAGTAAAAGGGAAGACAGTATCTGCGATATGCCAACGAAACACTTTTCACGTGGAAAAAAATGTCAGCAGTCAACAGAAGTTTAAAATGTCAGCACTCTCCTTGACCTCTGTAAAAGCCATGACTACGACTGGACACATTCTAATCCTTCTTAGTAGCAGATTTCACTGAACATACTATTATGTGACTTTGATCACATTGTCTGCCTAACTTCACCGCCCCTTCCCCCTTCCATTCCTTCAAATCAAACTCAGCCAGTCACCAGGAAAGACTCCGATCAAGTCAGAAATTTCTCTATGAAGCCTACTGTGTATCCTGCCTGCACTCTGGGCAATGGTGACCACTCCCACATTTCAACTTAACCAGTTTCATGGCTCCTTTTATTTTTAGTGATCTTATAATTTCACAGTATAAGTGCAACTTAAAATTACATGGTTGCCATGAATAATATGGCAGAATGTTCATAAGAAAAATCCTGTAAAGCGGATCACAGATAGTGTTTTTTTAAGTTGTATTAAAAAGAAAACTGACAAGCTTAAAATTCTGTTTCAGTCTTACTTGCCCTCTTTTCTATGCCTTTCCTCTGAATCTAAAGGTTGAATACCACATTTATATAAAAATAACCCAGTGAAAATGACTAGAGAATGAAAAAGTTGTTAAGATACTTCTATCATAGGCTGGCTGCTTACTTTTGACAATGTCACCTACTGAGTTTCAGAATATACAGGTCATGTTATCTCCATTTTACAAAAAGAAACCAGAACAGAGAGTTTACATTACTAAGACCTGTCTTCAATCTTTTCCAACTTCTACCCTAGGGAACCAGACTTTGCTGACATTGATAAAAGATCAGAGAGGATTTATGTGGTAACTGTACTGTGGATTTGATAATCTTCTAAAATTCAGCATCTAAATTGGTGATTGTGCAGATCCATTGATAATTATTTTCTGTCTCTTATCCTGGCCTATTTCCTGTACTGATGCTAATATGTTCAAACTGTGTCTACAACATTCCTGTAAAAGCATGACTATTGTGAAATTTTACATATTATATATACTAGGTGGCTTCTCTATTCCATTATTGACCTGCCAAACATTATTTTTGGACCTAGATGAGAAATCTCTAGATATCTAGAACCATATGATAGAAAGACTGTGGTCAGCAAGACTGCTACCAAATTGCATCACCTCCACATAAAATGTGCCAAGCTATGGGAAATTCAACCATACTGAGATTCAGTTTTCTCATTTGTAATTACATATACCTAACTGATGAGGCCATTGGGATGCTTAAATATGACAGTGGGTGCTGTCATGGTAGGTGGTAACAAAAATCTATAAATCGGATGAGTTGTGATCTTTTCCCTTTGATCATGTACAGTGTTATAAACTAATGTTACCTCAACAAATTCATTCTTTCATCCATCCATTCATTAAAAAATAAAGGCTTTTTGGGCTCTCCCTGGTGGTACAACAGGTTAAAGCATCTTATTATGAAACTCTCCAAAGCCACTGCAGCACAAGTTCAATCCCTGGCCCCAGAAGTGACCCACATGGTGCAGCAGACCTCTCCTGACCTTCCCGCTGCTATCCTCAGCAGTGTACTTTGTCGATCTGCCTATTCTTCTCCCAACTCTGTCTCTGATGAATTCTCTCACCCACCACATCTCTGGTCTGTACCCCAGTTATGTAACCATAAATAAATAACTCTTTAAAAAAAAAGGCTTTTAAAGAATGTGGGTTTTAGTTAGAAATGATATATTAATCAATGCCTAATTCATGTTTTAATATTTTTAATCATTGCCAAATATGTGTGGTAATTAAAAATTGCTTCTGTGGTTTCTGTACTTAATATACATAATAGTGGTGTAAGTATGGAGGACACGTGTAAATATTTTACCATAACAAATGATTACCATTGTTTTAATATCTGTAATACAGATATGTAAATATTAAATTCAATATAAAGGCAGTAGATTTATCCTGGAATTCTCAAGGAATAGTGTGTAATACCATACAATGTTATTTTCCCAAAACACTTTTTGTAAAATAGGACATTTCTTAAAATCCTCTTAAACATGAAAAACATTTTCATTAAAGAAACTTTACTAGAGAAAAAAAGAAGATAAGATCTGAGGAACTTAATAGCAAACCTACTGGATAGAAATAACTTCTGGAAGCCATCCTGTGAGGGCGTGAATAACAGTGAACTCTCCGAGTTCTCTCCTCTCTGCCATGTGGATGCTAAAAAGGCAAATACACAACAGTATGATTACTAAAATTTGGAACTCCAGAGAGGTATGTCAAGATGACTAATAAACAGGACTACAATAATAAATGCAGGGATTACGCTGGTTATTTATGATTACATAGGAAAATGCTATTCTAATGGCCAGCTAATGTTTTGTTAAAATATTTAAAACAGCTGAATCATAAAATTTCATGTAGAATTATAAAATAGGCTTGCATGATTATAAATAGAAATGAATTAATATTAATGTCCTTGAATAACATCATTTTGTTCAATGCTATTTCATTATAACATTGATGTGATAAAAAGACTCCCAACCAACGTTGAATGAAGTGACACACAGAGACCTGGTTTCCTTATTTAAAACAATCATTTAAAGTTACAGTTTCCAGTAACCTAGCAGTGTGGATCTGGATCTCCACATAAAGCATATTCCTACTTAGTATATATTAGAAATATATAAGTAGTACATGATATTTTATATATTCAGTACACCTATTGTATATTATCATGTGTTGCTATTTTGAGAGGGAAGCGTCTTTAATCTTTCTGATTGCAATAATTAATCTCAGATGACTATGAGGGTGTTAAGTCATCTCATACATGGCAGCAAGATGGGCGTCAAGATTCTTAATGAACTCCATGTTTCTTCTTATTTTAGTCCTTGTATTTCCCTCCTGAGATGGCTAGTCTACCTACATTATGAAGCATAAAAGCCAGACTCCCATCCACCCAAGAACTAGAGCTTCAGCCAGTGTTTGCCAATTAATGATAGAGTTTAATGCCCAACAGACTCGTCCTTCTCTTTAGCAAGATACCTTACTTATCGTTCTGTCTTAGTCACTCGTTCTATCATTGATCCATGTGCACCCATTTGTTATTCACATATTATAAACTCTGGCGTAGCTGCATAGTTCAGAGACAACAAATATCTACTGGGATAGCTTATTGTCTCATTTAAACACCCTTCTGGATAATTATATTTATGAATTTACTCTGCAAACCTATTCAATAATGCATTTTCTTTGCATATCTCACAATGATATTGAGATAACTACTCCAGATTAATTTTTGAGTGTAGAAATCTAAACCATGGAAATGGCCGCTATGCATATGACACAAAGAAAAATCTAAATTGCTGTATATGTACAGATTTCCACAAGAAATTCTAAGGAACGTATTTCACTTATTCTGGTACTGTTTCCAAGCTGGGCTGAGGTTTTTAAATTAACAGTAACCATTACTGAAGTGACATAAAATTTGAGGGAACTTTAAGACAAATGCCACTTCACTTATCCAGGCATAAAATGCTTCACCTGACTTGCAGCTGTAATTCTCAGAATTTCAATTTTGGCCTGGGAATTCGCAACACTAATTTCTCTCAAAACAAGCAAGCATAGTTGTCACTAAAGACCTGGTAGGTTTTATTGTCTACAAAGACCTGGGATGAGTTTTTTGAAGAATCATTACAATTAAGGGCTGTAAGCAGAGTGAAACAAATTCCCAATAAACAATTGAGAGCTGGTAAGAGAAAAAAAGACATGCAGATGATGGTAGCAGGAATAGTTCCTGATTTGTAACCTTGGAAGAGAAAAAGAAAGCTGAGCCCAGAGACAATGCCCTCAAAGGACAGGGGCTTCTGACGGCTCTGTTATAGTAGGGGCTAAGCTCTGAGCAGAAGGCTGAGGGCTCCTGTTAACGAAGGCCGGAGGCCGGTGTGTTCTGTTGAATATTAAACTGCTGATGCAGGCCTGGGAAGGAAGAACGTCAAGTTTAGGCAGATGCAGATGGCAGGGATCCCACCACTTAGCAGTGACATAAAGTTGCATACACAACCCAGGCATCTAAGCTTTTTTTTGCACTGATCAGACCAATATGCAACAGCAACAGGTCTCTGTTAGAGAATAAAGCGTCACATGCACACCTTCCTCATGTTGGTGCATAAATCATCCAGTTTTTCAAGAGGCTGAAAGACATACTAGCAGTTTTCCCCGTAAGTGCATGAGAAGAGCCAGTGTTACCATAAGCATGAGGTGCACACTGGGTTCCCTCCAAAGAGCAGATTTTTCAAGGTCAGTAAATAATTGCCACATATACAAAACCAATACCTTTTACTGGATTCTTCTCTACGTTGTTCAGTATGAACAATATTTCCCCTACAAAACAACTTCTTTCTGCCATTAACCTGACATGTTAATGTTGACTTCCCATTCATAGTTAGAAAGCATTAGATTTAGGAAATAATGATGAAGTATTTTTTCTTGGGACAATTTTATCTTATTGTTGGCAAACCCATTATTTCAAGTCAGTGGCTATGGCATGTTTATTCTTATATCAGAACATTTCCACTGACTGGGAAGAAATAGTTTCATTTTTTCAATGAAATTCCCAGAATACAGAGATATACATGTTGCTATTATTTGTTTTTCTGTTTTGTTTTGTTTTTCTACAAATGAATAATTCTCCATTCTACATACTCAACATTTGTCAATTTAATTATAGCTTTAGACAGAAGCATTGGCCAAAGCTCAAATTCATTGGTTGTAGCTGGAAGCAATAGGTTGTTATCTTCATCAAAAGGCAAAGAATCATCGATAGTTATCTTTCTCCAGCAACCCTAAAAATTAGAAGAAAGGAATATTCCATCAGTGATTCTTTACTTTTATTCATACATTATTGATAGTACCAATATTATTAATAATTATTTTAGAATTTTTAGTTTCTTCTTCTGAAGAACAACATACTAGTTTTCAGTACAACTTCCACTGAGAATTTTAACTTACTATTTTGTTTAATATATTATAGCATATCCAGGGCTAAGTCAACAGTGTCCTTACTTGAGAGGTTCTGTTAGAACTTTTTGGGGTGCCTTACCCTACATAATGCAGCAAATTAATTCTGTTTCAGATATGGAACTAAAAATTATGCAACCATTAATAACTGGGGCATAATCAAAGAACTTAATATAGTCACACTGCAAATTCTCCAAATATAACTTCAGTAATTACACTTATCCTGATAGGTTCCATGATGTCACACTTCCAATTACCATATTATTCTTACTCCTCATCAAAGGTTTAATTTTATCATGAAGTTAATTAATATTTTATTTAATAAAATCAGCCCATAAGAATATTATTTCATAAATAAAAGCAAGCTTGATATAAATGATAACATTAATGAATATAAGCTCAATTTTATTTTAGCTCTATTTAACATGCAAAATTATATTACAAATCCATTCCTTTGACAAAGAAATGTTTCATCAGTGATATGAACATTGTGAACAATGAATTCAGCATCATACATGGCCTGTAACCATTGAGCTATCTAGAGTCTAGTGAGAGTAGGCATAGAAGCAAACAATATAAAGTGTAATAAGAGGTGCCTTAGGTCAGGAAAGAATGGGGTGTGACAGGGTGGTCCCCAGGAGAAGGAGAGGCTCCAGGTTTCCTGCCCCACTCAAATGAGGGTGGAGCTGAGCAGGGGGAAGCAGATTCTGGAGAGGAGACTGAAGAGGAAGGAAGCAGAACACCAATACCCCCACCCCACAGGAAAAGTCACTGACAGAGGCTCGGACTTCAGTCTTTCTGGCTGTCCATTTGCCTTCAGGCTGCCTCTACTAATGGGACAGCTAAAAGATGTAATACACTTAGATTTCCACGTTGGAAAATTTGGAACATAGAAGTAGATTTTTGAAATGGCGGAATCCAAGTGGATTTCAGTTTTGTTAGGAATCAGAACAGGATGTTGCGTTAATAAATGTTGACCTCTCTTTAGAAGGAAATTTGAAAACAAGGATGTTAGAAAGGAGAGAGAGAGGGAGAGGGGACTAGGGAGGAATTTAGTATTAGTTAAGCTGATAAGCTGATACCTTTTTTTTTTTAATCTTTTAATTTATTTATTTACTCCTACAGAACTGAGGTACAGGCCAGAGATGTGGAGGGTGAGAGGATTCACCAGAGACAGAGTGGGGAGCAGAACAGTCCAATCAATGAAGCACACTGCTGAGGGGAGCAGTGGGCAGGTCAGGAGAGGTCTGCCTCACCATGTGGATCTCCTCCAGGGCAGGCAAGGATTGAACTCATGCAGAAGTGGCTTAAGCTTCTTTGTGCTGTGCTTTAACCTGCTGCGCCACCAGGGAGGGCCCTAAGCTGATACCTTTTTATTTATTTATTTATTTATTTATTTATTTATTTATTTATTTATTTATGCATGCATGCATACATGCATGCAAGAACTGGGGTGTAGACCAGAGATGTGGGGGTGAGAGGGTTCACCAGAGACAGAGAAGGAGCATATCCACTGAAACACACTACTTAGGGACTAGCAGACCAGACAGAAGAGGTCTGCTGTACCACGTGGGTCAGCTCCCTTGACTGGGATCAAACTAGTGTCGCAGTGGCTGCCTATAGCTTCATAGCACTGAGACTTAACCCCTTGCCATCAGAGAGACCCAAAAGTCTTAATCAATTTGACCTCTTCAGTCAGTTTACACAAGTGAACAGAAGTGGAGGGCAAATACCCAGATATTCATCCTACTCATCTTCCTAGGTTGACCACCCTTTATAGTCCTTCAGTGTTGTCTATCCAATATGCACTTTCTTATCCTTCTCACTGCTATCACACAGTTCATCTGTGAAATGTTCCTCCAGATAGGAAATTAAAAAGATAAAGTAATTTAAGGAGTTATTTTCTCTCCTCACAAAGTTTGACTTTGAAGGTCTACTGTCTTGCTGTGAATATTAAAAAAATCAAGACTCCTATTTCAGCTGTTGGAAGCTACCACTATCTTCTTTACCACACCATCTCACTGTAGAGATGGTGTAATTCCTAAGCACTGGCCTTTCAATATTCCCCATCCCAGGAAGATACATCACTTGGACTCTTTAAGGGGAATGTTGTGGTTCTAGAAACATATAATAGAATGATTAACTTTCAGTACTTTCCTCACTCCCTCAAATGTTCAAGAACTTTTGAGTTCTTGACCAGTCATTGTTAGTGACCAGGTCCAGCGCTAGGGGTGCATGACCAGGGCAGTCACAAGGGGCCTCAGACTTAGAAGGACCCCATGCTTGACTTAAAGTGCTGTTATTACTGTCCTGAAATCTTACAGTTGGTGATGCCTATGACTCAGGGCCACTAGGAAGAGAATTCGACCATTAAAAACCAGAAGATGTGGGATATATTCTAGCAATGCTAAATACGGTGTGAATCTACTTTGCCATAGGAAGCAAGGGGGTCATAATTCTCTATTTGTACTCCAACCATCCCATTTCTTTTCTTTTTTTTTTTTTTTTTCATGCAGAGGTCAAAAATTTCTTTGTCAGTAAAGATTGGTTAACATGAAAACAGATCTGAAGTTCAGGGTCAAAACCAGTTGGCATAGGCCCAGCAGAAGCAGCCAAGTCCAAGTCAGGAGGGTTAGATCATACCCAACCACAAACTCCTGCCTGTAACCCTAATGTCACATTTCAGCGGAAAAAGGAAGAGAGCTTTGTGTTCCTACCTGCTACCCAGCCAGCCTGCCTGATAGCTCAGAGGGGTACCCCTTCTCTCCTCTATAAAATGTTCATAGGACTGGATCATAGGAGAATCAAGTCTTTCTTATTGATCCCAAATGACATTGCAGAATATTTCTCTCCAATAGTTCTACAAAGTCACATCCTGCATAAACTGTATCATCTTGCATTAGCCAAGGAAGCCATATGCAAGACAAATAAATTTGAGTATTAAAGCAACATGAAATTAAAGTCACAAGAACATAGCCCTACTTACCATCCAGTAGAGTTTCACAATATACTTTCCATAGCTGTTGAACAAGGGCATGTGGCCCTTCACAGCCTTGCACAGAGAGTAGATGTGTTCCCAGGGCTTCCAGTTGAGAAGAGGTGGTTCCCCAGCAGTTCCTTTAAAGTAATTGCTTAAAACACTCCCATTGAATATCTTCCACACAGCAGACATTTCGCTGATAATCCATCTCATCAGCTACAGACAAAAAAAAAAAAATTCTTCATTGTTAATTAGTTTTTTTTCAGTTGTTCGTACTGTAATTTTTTTTGGGGGGGGGCAGAGATCCAGCATAAGTCAGTTTCAAATAGTAACATTAAATTTTACATGTAATGTATTCTAGCTTTTGATTTCTGAGCTACGACAAAATCATAGGTTTTGCTGTTTTACTTTGGTTTTCAGAAAATGTAATCACTATACAAATTTAAAGAGCCATTATTAAACACAACACCTGTGAGCTGTCATCAGGAGTGGACTGAATGTAATTTGATTTTCACCTTCATTAAAATGTTCTGTGTGTGTGTGTGTGTGAGAGAGAGAGAGAGAGAGAGAGAGAGAAGAAAGAGAGAGGTTGAGTGCTTCTGAGCCAAATGATTTTTATATAATGAGCTTTTTCTAAAAGAGTGCACTATTTTTCTGCAAGTGTTTTGAGAGAAATGATCTTTTCTGTCCATTGGACCTATTAAATTAATGCGATATGAAAGAAATAAAACTAAACTAAAACATGACCTGCATCTTGTGCTTCCACCTTGATATGCAGGTATGGCACAGATGAGTTGGAAGACACTCAGTGTGGGGTCTGTAACAGAATAGGAATGCTAAACTTCACAGCAGCAGCGATGAGCTGGAATGTATATGTCAGATACTTCTGCTCTTGAGTAGGTCACCTTGATTCCTTTAAAGTACAGTTTTCACTTGTAAAATACACATATTCCACTGTCTATTTTCCAGCATTTCAACATAACAGGAATTTCTGGGTTACAGCAGATGTTCACTAAAGGCATGAGTACTTCAGACGAGGTAGATTTCCCGAAATTTCCTGTCTTAAAGTTTGTTTAAGTTGGTGAGGGCAAAATAGCCTCTTGTAGTCTAGGAAATTTTACTGGAGCATGTTTTATTCATATTTATCTTTCACTTAAATTAAAAACTAAAGTTAACCTATATTTAGGATTCATAAAATGAATATCTTCAAGATAGAAAATAAAAATAATCAGAGCTTAAATTTTGTATTAGTCAGTATAACCTGGTAGAAGTAATACAAATTTTGCTTTCATTATTGACAAGACATTAAAGATAAGAAAGACAAACAAAGCCTTTGCATCAAGAATGATTGTGCCCCCTCTTCTGATTGGGGCTTAGGAGAAAATAATAAAAGTCCCTGTTTTTTATTTAACTATCTTCAGAGACCAGGCTGGGTCTGCTCAGGTGAATAAATTCCTAAGTCTGGAGATGGAAGGGGGGGGGGGGCGGAAAGGGAGAGAACTGGAAAGGAGCCTGGAAGTAGGAAGGTGAGGGAATGGGGAGGTGGGCAAAGTGGGAGGGTGGAGAAGAGGTGGGGAGGTGAAAGATAGGGAGGAGAGGAGAGGGAGGGATGACAAAAGGAGAAGGGAGGAGGCAGAAGGGAGGAGGTAGGGAGAAGATAGAGGTGGGGCTGAGGGGGTGTGAGGGGCAGGGAGCAGCTCCAACCGGAAGTGGGACTCTAAAGCTGAAACTACTACTTTTAGATGAGTGCTGGGAATCAAACTGCACCAGCGTCATTCCCTACGTTCACAACTCTGCGTCACAGCATCCCACTCTTAGACATAGTGGTGGGAAGCAATTTTATGTCCATTGCTCCATGTCTCCTCCAGAGAAGAAGCGGCCAGAATGTGAGGACTCAGCAACTCTCCCGGCAGAACAGGGCTCCATCACTCCAGCGTTTTCCTACCATGTGCATGCAAGGCTCAAATCAAAAAAAGCTCCTCTTCCCTTTTAATCTCTGATATATAAAATTCTCCGTAAGAACGAAACTTAAATGTGAGGACGGGAGAACTGAAAGTGGTAGGTAGCTGTCTGAGCAGCTCTGCAAGAAGGCGTCAGTTTAGGTGTTAGTTTCTCCTTGCCCACATACCTCGCTGCAGAGTAAATGTTCATTTGGTGCAAACAAGTCGAACAGGATTTCATTTTTCACCACTACTGGAGTCTGAAATAAAAAGAGAAATATAAAAGAAGACAGTAGTTATGTAGCTTACTGCAATAAAGTTTCCCCTGCTTTTGTGAAAAGGCCAACCTTTGCAATCAGAGGAACTAAAATAATTATTCCATATGATCACCCTGTCAGAGATAACAGTTATATTAATCCAATAATGTAATGCATGTAAAATAGAGCATTTAACAGCAAACGAAATGTTTTGTGATATATGTAGATAAACTTAGCATGTAGATGCACACAAATGAAGTTTATAAAGTGATTTGAAATTTAAATTAGCCCCTCAAATTAATCTTGAAGCTTAGTTAACATCTGGTAACTGAAGCACTATCTTCATCTTGGATGAACATATTATCTGTGACAGATTTCTAAACTCTGGTCCAACTTGAAACCCTGTATCTTTTAAGAAAATACTTGGAGGGCTATTATTTAATTGGTGTATATTATGGCTCAATATATTTAGATCAATAAGAAATAAACATAATCAGAAAAATTAAAACTTGTGACAGCTTTCAAATAATAATTACAATTCATCTCAAACTTACATAGTCCACATAGCAATTTAACATAAAATTCGATAGTGAAATAGGCTTGGTTTACTATTTCTTTTCTTTCTTTTTATTATTATTATTTTATTTATTTTTTACATCACTCTTCATTTTGTACATTTTTTCATCTCAGTATTATTTCTCAGACTGTCCACCACCAATTCACCATAGTTTCATGCACTCTTCCCACACCACCCCATTTTTTATCCTATTCCCCTCTCCACCCCCATAAAATGTCTCTGGTTTATAGTTGCTCATTGTTTTTGTTTTTACTTTATTACATTTGCTTCTCTTCCACCACTAACCCCAGCCTCTTAGGCTCCTGTTATGAGTGAAACCATCCAATCCAGTATTTTTCTTTTTCTTCCTGGCTTATTTCACTAAGCATGATCCCTACTAGCTCCATCCATGATGTTGCAAAAGCCATGAGTTTAACTTTTTTTTGACTGGTGAGTAATATTTCATTGTGTATATGTACCACATCCTTTTAATTCAGTCATCTTTTTTGGGGCATTTGGGTTGGTTCCACATCTTCACTACTGTAAATAGAGCAGCAATAAACATGGCGGGGAAAGTGTCCTTTTGAATCAATGTTTTTGTGTCCTTTGGGGAGATACCTAGCAGTGGGATTGCTGTGTCATATGGAAGCTCCATGTTTAGCAGAGAAACCTTTCCATAGTGGTTGTACTAGTTTGCATTCCCACCAGCAGTGCAAGAGAGTTCCTTTTTCTCCACATCCTCACCAACATGTGTTGTTGCTAGTTGTTTTACCATTCTCCTGGTGTGAGGTGGTATCTCATTGTGGTTTTAACTTGCATCTCCCTTATTACAAGTGATGCTGAGGGTTTTCTTTCATATCCCTGTTGGCATCACATGAAATAGTATTTAAATGGATGCCAACAAAATCAAGTAATTCTTTTTTAAAGATTTATTTATTGTTTATGCATACAGAACTGGGGTACAAGCCAGAGTTGCAGGGGTGGCTCCACCAGAGACAGTGGGGAGCAGAACAGGCAGCTTGACGAAGTACACTGCTGAGGGGAGCAGTGGGCGGGTTAGGAGAGGTCCCGCACCATGTGGGTCACCTCCGGGGTCAGGGATCGAACACGTACTGAAACATCTGTGGCCAGCTTGCAGTGCTGCATCCTAACCCATTAATGCCACCATAGAGGGCCCAAAATATAGTACTTTTAATCATCTGTGCAACTTGAAAATCCAATGAAATATTCAGTATCCAAGAAAAATTCATTTAAACTTACCTTTCAGCAAGTACCAATATGAATTAAAATTATTTAGGGATAAACAAATATTGAAGTTGGAATGATTAAACTGAATAGTCACATGCTGACACATGAAAAGAAGGCACTGGAAGTTAGCAGAAGATATGAAGTCTTTCTAGCATTATGCTAGCATTTCTCCTCAATGTGCCTATTTCTTGACAAGACAACCCTTCACACACATTACATTTTTTTCAATGTAATGAATACTCCAGTGCCTGGGCCACCAATATCTGGTCCTTAAAGGAAGCAGATCTGATTTTTTCTCTATGATCAGAGCTTGGCAAACTCCTTGGCTTCAATGACTGATGTTGATTCTGATATCTTAAATCCATACTCCTTAAGTTTTGTTAAAACTTAGTTTCTCTTTGATTGAAGAGACCCATGTCAGACACTGTGCTATATAAATGGTAAGTGGCCACTATTTAGTGAATCCTTAAATCCTTTTATTGGATCAGGGGCTAATTTAAATTTCAAATCACTTTATTGGAATAAGATAGACTACAGTAGATGTCATATAGAAAGGTGATTATTGTTTTGTAATATTTTTGCCTAAATTATATATTATAGAATCCATATTTAAGGTAAAATGTAGTTATTACTGTGGACTTAGATATACAAAAATTGAAAACACTATAATTTTACTCTGCTATTTCACTAGACTTTCGAATCATCTTACTGTGATGTTACCTAGTTCAGGATAAAAAAATCAAGTCAGAGCAGAGGGGAAGTGGAGATATTGAGAAGGGTGAAAGCATTATATCATCAACCACAACAAACACATTTATTTATAGTATGAGTGTATCTCTCAGAGCTAAAGTATGCTAAAGAAAAGGAAATGACACAAAACTTTTCAGTTGTCTATGCTGTGATTCATGTTTACAACACTTTCACTTCATGGACTTCATGCCCTTTATTTGCATAGAATGTAATCTCTTCCCTGACACTGAACAACCTGAATATTATTACATTACACCGACATTATGTGCTATATTAACGTCACAGAATTTATATTCTTCATGTCAAGACTACCTAAAATTATAAGTAACTTAAAGGCATGGTCTGTGACTTTTATTTAAAAAGTCTTAAATAAAAGATTTAAACAGTTTTACACATTCAGTAACTACTTCTATAGACAGAGATGTACCTTCTTATTTTCTCATTTTAATAAATATTTTTGAATTTAGGATTACCAGACTTTTCCAAGTAGTAACATAAATTCGAAAATATGGTAGATAAACTGTAATTTCTAGCACTAGTAGCAACATTTATGAAAGTTAAACTTTAAGGAATAAAATCACTGTGTAGAAACAAATTCAGTGGATTCCATATAAATGAAAGAAGCAAGTGTATTACAACCGTCTGACTAACACTAAGTAACTAATTTAGCCTACAGGTTTTTATGTATTAAGTAAAAATAGGTACAAGAAGGATAAAATGACATTAGTGATAATTAAACCCTGGGAGACACCAAATATATTTAGAATATCACAGCTATTAGGAAGATGCACCAGTGGATCCTAAGTTTAAATGTACATAAAAAGCATCTAAAATGAAGGTTTCTCGGGCACCATCCAGTCAATGAGATTCACATGACTGGGTGTGGGTTCCAGAAATGTAAGTTCTTTAAAATGAGGTCCCCTGAAAATGTTTCCTGAATCTCTGACGTAGGTAGATCCCCATGCAAACCTCTTGAACTGGAAAATTAATGTGAGTGAACTCTAAACAAACCAAAATATTATATAATTTCCTACTAGGAAGCAGAAGAAAGTCTGTCATATTTTAAGAATTCCTCAGAACAGTTTAGGCTAAAATTTCACATTAGGGAGAGAAAAAACTCAAGCCTTTAAATTTACTTTAAGTAAATTTCAAAATTCTCTTAAAGTCCAGTGCAAAGAATAGTCAATTAGATTGATGAACATTTATTTCAGATTTAAATGCCAAAAAAAAAAACAGTTACCTATTTTTTTTTTTTAAGATTTATTTATTTATTTATGCAGACAGAACTGGAGTACAGGCCAGAGGTGCAGGGGCAGTGAGAGGATTCACCAGAGATAGAGTGGG